AGGCGCCAAGCCTATTGCTTTATTTTTCATATGTGCACCTGCATAAGGTAGATTTATATATCATTTTTGATGCTTCACTATTTATAAATGCTTTCACTATTTATAAATAAAATTTATTTATTTATTTATTTTCTTTCTTAGAAACAGAGTCTCACTTTGTCGCCCTCAGTAGACTGCCATGACATCACAGCTCACAGCAACCTTCAACTCCTGTGCGTAGGCGATTCTCTTCCTCAGGCTCCTGAGTAGCTGGGATGACAGGCGCCCGCCACAACACCCGGCTATTTTTTTGTTGCAGTTTGGCCAGGGTCAGGTTTGAACCCTGCCACCCTCGGTATAGGGGGTCGGTGCCCTACTCACTGAGCCACAGGTGCCGCCCTATTTAAATAATTTTCAATTATAAGTTTTCTGCACATATGAAAATGAAGCAATAGTTGTTAACGAATGAACTGAATTCACCTTAAAATAAGTTATCTAGTACAATACTTCTTTTTGTTGAACCTCAATCTGTTGCCCCAGGGTAGATGCCCTAGGGTCAGCCTAGCTCATAGCAACCTCGAACTTCTAGGTTCAAGCAGTCCTCCTACCTCAGCCCCCGGAGTAACTGGGACTACAGACTCCAGCTACCGCAATATCAGGCTAATTTCTCTTTTTTTAGTAGAGACAGGGTCTCACTCTTGCTCAATGTGGTACAAATTCCTGACTTCAAACAATCATCCTGCCTCAGCCTTGTAGGGTGCTAGGATTACAGGCATGAGCCACCTGGCCTGGCCGGGTTTTTCTGAAAGTTACCTTTAACGTGTCATAATAGTTGAGGCTTTGAAGGTGTATTTATGATTATACCTGCAAACATTTCAAATTCAGCGTTATGTCTAAAACTGAACAAACTACCTCTTTGCTTATAACTGTACTTCACAGCCACCCAAGCTACAAACCATAGGGTCGTTTTTGTCTCTTTTCCCCCCACACCATCTCAGGTAGCAGTCCTGTTGACTTTTTTTCTTTTCTGTAGGAGTAATATACTACTACTCAACCTCTACTGTAAGGTTGGCAGCCCTGAGAACTCCTCTTTTTAATGTAGCATGTTATGGACGTATTTCTGCTCTCAAAGGAATGAGGAGCAGACATTTCCACATGCAAATGTTGATTTAAATTCATCAAAATTATTGAATCTATGTCCTCCTCTCTAAACCATGACTTTATGTCAAGTCAATCACTTCAGACTCCAACCATTTTAAGAGATTTTTAGCTTCTCTCACTTCATTCCACCCTGCTCAATGGAATCACAGTACACCTTACTTATTAATATAAAGTAATGTTATTTGGGCATTCAAGTGACATGCTTTTCCTTCTATCTGCGCACAACCTGTGTTCTTACATTTTGTAAACATTCTAACATAGCAATTAACACACCATATTATAGTTTGATGTTGAGTTCTGCAGAACAGCAGTCATAATTTATTCACATTAAAAACTGCCAATCATTACCACTGTGCATGTGATATAACAGATGAACAATATGTTCCAAATATTCAAAATCTGTATCAACGTTTCTTATGTCAAGTTCAGGTTTTCGCTAGAACTAATAATACTTGGGAAACGTAACAGAAACCTGATGCTCAGATAAAAGGCTGGAAACAAGAGAAATGGGGTAGGATAAAAGTCAAAAGGGTTGATTATTTACAACAGAAAGCAATAAATATAGCCCAAAAGAAATAACGATGTAAGTATGTGTCTTGTACACATATCTCTAGTACAGAGATAGCTCAAGAAAACTCAACTCCACCGGAAGCCAGAAAAGAGCAAAGAGAAGAACCAGAAAAGTGGCATTTTTAGGCCCACGCAGTCGGCGTGTGTGCACGTTCTGTCCCAAAGAGCTAGTCATACGTTCAAGGTGTTCTGCTTTAAATAACTTGAATCCTGAGTTACTTGGTGGCTTGGGCCTCTGACACCCCATTCCTGAGATGGCACACCCTAGGCTGGCTTTTCCTGCAGAACTAATGGCCCAAGCGATGCACCTGCCCGCAACAGGCAGCGCTTCACAGAGAAGGGGCAGTGGAAAGGAAAATATATGTGCATAAGGGACTGGGCAAAGAAGGGCCTCAGGTCAATTAAAGTATGTGAGTGCCCAGATCCGACGATAACAGGGCAAAAAACAGGCATGATCCTTTCCCTCGTGGTGTGGCTCTCAAAATTACAGTGAAAACGTGACTGCCATGGCTGAGGAGGGAGGTGGAAGATCTACATTTCCCCTGCCCCGACTCCAAGTTACTGAAATCACCTCTCTTAGGACACTGGGTGGCGGTGGTCGCAGGGAACCACTCCATGCCCAGCTTGGGCCTCCACCCGTGACCCCCGGCCCAGGACAGTCCCCTTGGTTCTCACCGAATCCTTTAATGAGCTCGGTGAAGACGCCGGGGTCGCTTTCCATGAGGCACCACTCCCCGGCATTACCCGTCATGGCCCCGGCCACACGCCGCCCCGCTCCACCTCTCGGTCCCGGCCGCCCCCCACAACAGCTGCTACAGACCACGGATCTCGGCAAAATCGCCGCCGAGCTCATCAACCCCACGTCACCCCGCCTACTTCCCGACAGCCTCTGGGCGCCGTCACCTGCAACGCGACGGAGCGCAGGAGGACGCTCTAGCTACCCAAGAGACATCGAAACTCTTCCTAGGCCTTGCTGCGCTTGGGCAGGGCGGGGTCTGAGAGGAAAGGGCGGGGATTCAGAGAGCCGAAGGCGGTAACATCCGGGATCCTCGCCACTCCGGAGTGGGGGCGGGGCTAGGGAAAGGGGCGGGGCTCGCTCCCAGGAACCGAACCTGGAAGCCTCCGCGTTAGTGGAGCGGGAGCTGGAGCTGTTGCTGCCGGTGAGGCCGCCGTGTCTTGTAGTTTCCCAGGGCTACGCAGGGCTTCTCCTGGCGGCGCTGCTGGGTAGGCTGCGAGACACAGGTGAGGAAACCGCGGGAGGCAGGCTGGGGGCCCTTTGTGCGGTCTGAGCGTCCCCGGGACGCTCAAGGTATGACCGGTCCTCCATGTCTCTCACCCCGCATCCCAGCGGCTCAGGCCCGGCAAACACCGCGAAACCGTCGTTCTCCCCGCTCCGCCTCCGCGCCCTGTCCATGCTGGGTAGCGGAACCAGCATCGCTGGAGGGACGTCCTTGCGGGAGCACTCCTGAGGGTGGGGCCTTTCCGAACCCGGCACCGCTCGGGCTTGTGCTTGCCTTAGCTTCCCACAGGCCGGCCTCGAGAGGGCCCGCTGCCCTCCTCCTCCTCCCCCCCCCACCAGCTGCTTCTGCGCGCAGAGGCGTCGCCCCGGTTTGGGAAAGGAATCTTTGTGGGAAGGCCGGAAGCGAAATTATCCTAGATGGAAGGAATAACGAGGAAAGGAGAAACGGTCTGTCCTATATAGTCCATAGGGATGATAGACTGGTTCAAGGAAATGCGATGCCTCAAAGGAAAAGGAGGTTGGGGGAAAGCATGTATTGTGTTAATCTGAAAACGTTGGCGATGCGTTTAAGAGTGGATGACGAGTTAAAACAAAAGTATTTTCACTAATTCATCCTCACTCAACAGGTTCTAACAGAAAATTGAGGTCTCTATGAGTGTATTTGTACATTACTCTTCAAAAGCTGGATGGACCAAGAAGGAACTTGGCTTGCAGGGATGTTTTAGTGGATGAAATTCTTGATCCCTACCTTCTCAAATAGGTGACCAGTACCCTGGAGTTAGGGAGCATTGTGCTACAAAACATGAGAAGCCACAAAACAAACAAGGTCAATGTTACTGAGGGAAACGACAAAGCAGCTTCTGTGTTAAAATAAGCATGAGTATAGTCTGTGGTAGAAGGCAGAATTTGTATGGAATGTTGGTTTAAATTTTTTTGTTCCGGAATTTCTTCTAGACACTGCCCTTAGGTTGGGAAGAGGAGTCTATTCATTTAATCTGCCCTTAAGATAACTTACTTGGAAAAGCCTAAGAGTTGTTAGGAGTCTAGCCTTATGAACCATACCTCGAATGATTGGCCTCAGGGCCCAAAGTAATTTGCAGTATTTTTTAATCTATAATATTGATTAAGAATGCTTTCTGTGCTAAATAAATATCTCAAAACTAAAATTTATTTGATGTCCAACTTAATATGGTACCTGTTATAGAAAGACCAACCTGAAAGTTTAGCCTTTGACACGATCTAGAAGTTAACAGAAAGAGGGTTATAATTTCTTTGATAACATTTAGTCCTGGCCAGGAGTGGTGGCCTGTTAATCCTAGCACTTTGGGAGGCCCTCTTGGGGCTGAGCAAGATGAGAACTCCTCTCTATGAAAAATAGAAAAATTACCTGGGTAACAGTGAGACCCTGTATATTTATGTGCGTGTGTGTATAATAATAAATAAACACATCCCTGTCTAAATGAATGAATGAAATGAAACAAAACATTTGATCCTGAGAGTTCACATAAAATAAAAATTGGTAAATTTTACCGAGAGAAACAACAAAGCAACTTTTGTATTAAAATAAGCATGAGCATGTTATGGATTAGAAGTCACAATTTATATGGAATGTTGGTTTAAAATTTTTTTGTTGAAATCTCTCCCTAGATGTTTTGAGAAAAATGAGAATTGGCAACACTTGGTCATATCACTTGATAACCAGTTTTGGCTCCCTTAAAGTAGTATGCTGTCATTTTTGCCACAGTTCCTCACCACTTATTGCATCACACTTGCCTTGATCTACTCATGTCTATGACCAGTCTGTATGATACAGGTGTTTGAATTTGTGGCCACAGTTTTTATTAATATGTTTCTTTTCATTTGTTTTGCACACTCTCATAGATGCAAGTCAGGTTTGAGTTTATCTTTAAAAGAATGAACTGCAATTTGACTTCTTAAGATGAAAGGTAGCATTTTCAAATAAATTATTATAAGACTTTGGAAAGATACTAAGATGTGTAAATTCAAGAAAATGTGGGAATCCTTAGAAATAATATATAATTAGTACTATACATGTTCTCATAGCAGAAAAAAGTGCTTTTATATAATGTGTTTTACTAGCATTTACTGATTTTTGTATTCTAAATTAAGTGGAGGAAGAGAGAAACAAACAAGGTGTAAAATTCACCACCACCAATTTAAAATGTGGCCATGCTTTTTATAGTATTGTGATCTCTTCAATTTCTTTCCCCAATTTTAATTTATAGAGATGTAATACAAGTTTAATTGTATTAAATTCTTTGGAGTGATGTGCTTTAATAGCACTAGATAGGTCAGGCCGACTCAAAGAAGAATTAACTTTTTTTTTTGGTTAATCTGGATTTACAACACTTTATTATTCAGTAATGGATTAACTGATGATCAGGCTTTGACCTCCGTCACTGTCCAACTGCCTTCTAAACCACTGATAATGGAGGTTAAGCTTTAAGGAGGCAGATGATGGCATTTGGGGAAAGAAGAAATTAAATTGATGAATGTGTATATCTCAAATTGTTTTCTAAAATCAAATATAAAATTTGTAGGGCTAAGTATCATTCTTGTGTAATGAATAGTACTTCTGCTCTCCACTCTGGTATAGATAATAGAATTAAATTAATTTCTATTATTTAAATAACTTTCTACAGTAGAACCTTCATAGTTGACAACGTCCCTACACTGACTACCTCAAGATGACCTAATTTTCATAAACCTAATATGTATCACATGTATGAATCAGTGCAGTAGGTAGTGTTCGTTATGTTGACCAGGTAGTTAACTTACAGAAGTTCTGGTATATATTTCAGTGAGCCAATTTTTTTGTTTTCAAATTTTTATGAGATTATAGCATACAATTCATCCTAACAAATTCACTATTTTAAAGTATCCAGTGCAGACGTTTTTAGTATATTCATGGAGTTCTACACCATCATCACCAATTTCAGAACATTTTCTTTTTTTTTAAGAGAGTCTTACTTTGTCACCCTTGACAGAGTGCCATGGCCTCACAGCTCATTGCAACCTCCAGCTCTTGGGCTTACGCAATTCTCTTGCCTCAGCCTCTGGAGTAGCTGGGACTACAGGCGCCTGCACCAGTGCCTGGCCATTTTTTTGTTCCAGTTTGGCCAGAGCTGGGTTTGAAATCCCCCTCCCACCCTTGGTATATTGGATTGGCACCCTGCTCACTGAGCCACAGGCACCACTCTTCAGAATATTTTCATCACCCAAAAAGAAATCCCCTACCCATTAGCAGTCACTTCCTATTCTTCCTTTCAGCCTCTGGCAACCAGTAATGTACTTTTTTTTTCTATGAATTAACCTATTATGGAAATTTCATAAAAATGAAATTGTAATACAGTATGTGACCTTTTATGACTAGCTGTTTTTATTTGGCATAGTGTTTTCAAGATTTGTTGTAGCAGCTCAGCGCCTGTGGCTCACGTGGCTAAGGCGCCAGCCACATACACTTAAGGTGGCGGGTTCGAATCCAGCCCTGGGCCTGCCAAACAACAATGACGGCTGCAATCAAAAAATAGCCAGGCATTGTGGTGGGCGCCTGTGGTCCCAGCTACTTGGGAGGCAGAGGCTGGAGACTCGCTTGAGCCCAGGAGTTGGAGGTTGCTGTGAGCTGAGATGCCATGGCACTCTACCCAGGGGGACAGCTTGAGGCTCTGTC